GATTCGAACCCGCCACCTTAGGTGTATGTGGCTGGCGCCTTAGCCGCTTGAGCCACAGGCGCCGAGCCTTCTTTTTAGCATTAACTGAAAAAGATTCAACCAAATTCATTCAAAAAGGCGTAACTTGCCAGGAAAATAGCCTGGATAGAGCTAAGAATCTGAGGGAGCTCTAATTGTTCTTTTTGGCATAATGGCTGATAATGGCAGACCTGAATTATACATGTAGATGAGTTCTAATTCTGAGATCAGTTCTTCTTCCCCTACACCAAGTTTTCTTTACCCAGTCAGTTAGAGTCTGTGTAGATATTTTGTTTACTTAATAACTTATAGACAGAGAATATGTATCTTTGTAAGACCATTGAATTCATGATTTTATTGTGAGATTTTCAGAAGGAAGACCAATGAAATTGATTTATATGATGTGTTAGTTTTCTAGCTCTCGTTCTAGAGCCACAATTAATGACAGTGAGGTGATTTGTTAACACTAATCAGATAGAAGCTTTATGTAAAATTAAGTAGAATTTTGGTAATGAATGGGTAAAATTTAACAATATGGGGATAGACAAGCTAATTTAATAGCATACAAATTAAAGCACATGGCTCATTTACATTTGGTATTTAATATATACAAAGTGAAGCACTGTTTTTATTATCTCTTCAAACAAAACATGAAAATGTTTTTTATATCCTTGCCTTTTGGTTAATATTGTTAGAAGGCATAAAACTAAATTCCTGAGTGAAATATTTTGGCCTAAAAATAATGTTCTCCTAAGTAATACAGAAAGGGTTTATTAGTTATACAGATAAATAAATATAAAACTATAAAAGCACATGTAAATAAAATTTTAACCATGTGAAATTACATGGCAAATGATCTTTATTCAGAAGTTTATGTTACTTGGAGCTTAAGTCAATTTAGTTTGAAATATCCACTGGCAATCTTCCAAGGCCTTCCTCAATTCTAATACTTTTAGTACATACAAATTTTACTCTGTTAAATGTATTCCATTCTCTCTCAACTAATTATTAATCTGATCATATCACAAAATCACAGTTTATCAAAGAAGTTTGAATTCATTAAAATTCAGCTATCCTGTTCTATCAACACCACAGTTTTTGATTTAAATAAATTCCTTGAAGGTAAGGATTACCGAGTCTTTGATCTCTCACAAAAAGAAACAGGGAGACTTAAACTAGCATACACGTAGGAAAGGTTTTTGTATGACTTAATGATTGAATTAAAAAAAAAAAAACAGTATATACCAGTGCATCAAAGATATTTCAGAATAAATGAGAATTAATCTTTTAAAATGACAATATTCATGAATTCAAAAGAAGTACTCTTTTAAAGTCTAAGTTATATGATAATAAAGAAAATTCTAAATTTTGACGACTTAGAAATAAATCT